TATCGATATGTTCAACCGCAGGTATCCAATGGGTCTCTGAGCGGACCGGAAGTACCACCTTTGTAGACAGTGCCAATGAGTTCACCACTCGCATAACCCGGCTCCTGAAGATTGAAAAACGGTGTCTCACCCCGCCCATCGAGGAGCCCGACTTGGAGACCGCTTTGATCTACACCACAGGTATCTCAGACCGCATTCCGGAGCTCATGGTTGGTTCCAGAGACTTTGACCCGGGGCTAACACGAGTTGATGCCAGCTTACTTCGAGGACGCAATCGATGCCGAAATGGCCATCGTCCATCGACCCTGGTTTGAACAGCGGTTGAGCGAGTTCTACAACAGCGGCATGAAGGACCAGGACGCATCATGGTACGCCCTCCGCATGGCCATCTTCGCGTCCGGGAGTCAAATCGAGCTATCGAAAACAAAGAGCTTCCGCGAAGCAAACGAAACTGGATGGCGATATTTTGAAAACGCCCTCTCGGTTTACACCAACATTCTCTTCTATCAAACCTCTGTCGAGGGAGTCCAAGCTTTGGTGATCATGGTCAGTGAAGGAGAGAAAAAAATTTTCAGCACAGCAGGATTATTGATTATTGGCTTCTAGTCCTACTACTGTTCGACCGTGAGCCATCCTTGTCTCGAGTACATGCTCTGCAACGATGCTGTGAGGCTTGCTGTGGCTCAAGGACTCCATCGACAACCTCCACCCTCATTGAAGTTGACCCAGAGCGAGATCACCCAGCGGCAGTGCATATTCTGGGCGGCCTATTGCTTGGAGAAACAGACTGTGTCGCTGTCGGGTCGCCACTCGGTATGTATGCTTGTTATTGCTTTCCCGCCAGGAGGTATCGTGAGGATAGCTTTTTTGTTCTAATCTTTGACACCTTTACAAAGATGATCGACGACAGTGATATCACCTTGCCACTGCCGACGACCGTGTCTCCCGGCAGTACCCTGAACCTGAAATTTGCCGTCACTCTCATCCTGGTGTCTCACCTGTCGTCAATGGTCTCCAAACGACTCACCAGTATGTACGCGCTGCGACAGGGCCTCGACTATCTGGTCCATGTAGTCACCAAACTGGACGAGAAACTCGAGGCCCTCAAGAAATCACTGGAACCTATTCTGTCCTCCAGCTCGATGCAGACCGTACCCGGTCATCGTCCATCGGGAATGAGTCTGAAACAGATTTTGTTCCTTCGATACGCGATATCCAACGTCACCTTGGGCATCCACACCAGCCTGACACACCCTTGGGCCGAGTATCTCTTTGCTCACCAGAAGCGGCGTGCCGAACTCCAACCTCAGATAGACAGGTCATCTCAGATCGTGGCCGAAACATGTCGAAACGCAATCCGAATGATAAGTAAGATCCAGTTTGACGCGAGTACGCCGGTATCGTAAGTGACACCCCAGCGGAAACCCCCCACAGTGATCTATATCCAAGACTGACATATTTCTTTTTTTGGCCGCAGCGTGAGCTTTTTCGGTCCAATATATTCGTTGATCAACCTGTTCATTTTCATTCTGCAATCCCCGTCCGACTCCAATGCCAAATCCGACGTCGCCCTCCTCGACTTCGGCGCCGGACATTTCGCCTGGATGCAGATCTTTACAGAGTCCGAAGTCTCGATCGGCCTGGCCAAAGAACTGGCCGTTCTGGCTCAGGGGTTCCTGAAAAAGTATCAGAACGTCGACAAGGATTCGGCGGCAGCGGCGGCGGCGGCGGCGATACCCATGACTGCCTCCACACCGAGGACCGGAATCAACTTTGCTGACCAGGAACGCGCAAGGGAAGGCGGCAGCGGAGGCGGCGGCGGTGGTGGTGGTGGCCTGCGGACAAACGACGAGACTGACGAGACCACTCTTACAGCCTCGCCACCACCTCCTCCGCCGGACTTTGGATATCAGCAGACCGCGCAAGACCTGTCCGCGCAGCTGTCGGAGGTGCCGTCGTCCTTTGACATCAATCTGGAATATTGGAGCACCTTTGTGCCAGATATCTTTGATCCGGATCCCCTGACAGACTTTCCTGGCGTGGACGGCATGCCTTAGGCACTAGGCACTGCCCCCGAAGGTTCTTTTTCAGGGGGAGGGGCAAGCAGTTTAGAATATGCGATTGAGAGAAAGTCGGAAAAGCGTCGGGAGGGGGGTTTTAACGAATGTAATGGGACAACGGAACGAACGTGTAATAAAACATAATCAGCTACTTCCATCTTGTATCAAGCGGAACGAAACGTATTCGAACAAACTCGAGTTCTTGGTCGCATAAAGAAAAGCAGAGCTGACCCCCGTGTCCTGATGGCTAGAAGTCTATCTATCCGGCCCTACAGAGACCAGGCTACCTAAGCAATCTTGTACAAATCATCAGTCCCCGTTTTACCGTCCAATTCCGTCATTGTCTTGATGTTCCAGTCATCGGGCTCGTAGTCGTCCGGCACGTTCGTGTTGCGGAATGGTTTCCCCTGCTTGACATGGGCCATGACGGCGTCGAACTTTTCGTAGCCGTATCGTTCCGCGTCGCCCGAGTACAGCCAGTCTGGCTGTGGAATCTTGAGAAATTGCGGCTCCTTCTTGACTCTTTCCCAGTCCGTCTGGTGCCATTTGTGACGCACTTCCCACCCCATTCGCTGCGTGGTGGATGTCCTGTCGTACCTGTGTGCGAAGCCGGGAGCGTTAGTTTCTTTGTCTGTCTGTGTGTGTACAGGCCATCCATCTATCTCTTTTATTGCGCGATTTGATTTGCGACACTCACCTTAATTTCTGGAACGCCCGTAGAGCAGACGGGATATCGGAACGTCCCGCCCTGTCGACCAGAGATGCCAAAGTCGCCCCGTCCTCGACGCCCATACCACCTCCAGACCCCGAGGTCGGGAGATGGGGGTGCGCCGCATCACCCACGAGAACGATTCTCCCTCTGTCAGAAACCCACTTGTCGATCGGGTCGCGCCACAGCAGCTTAAAGTCGCAAATGACATGCTCGGGAATCTGTTTGATGGCGGCTTCCAGGACGGGATCGCAGCCCTCGACGACTTCGAGCATGTCCTTGACGGTGCCCGGGTAAGTCCAGGACTCTTCGACCGTGTACGTGTCCTTGTGGGTGAGGTAGGCGGATATGTATCCCAGCCTGGCGTTGACGATGATGATGGCATGGAGGTTCAGCCCGATCCAAATGATCAGTTGGTCGTTCTCGGTATAGGCCAGGTCGTGGGTCAACGGATCCTTTTGAAGGTGCTCCCGTGGGAAATACGCACGGTACACGGCAAAGCCACTGCGTTGGGCCATCTGAGTATTGCCCGTGACATATTTGCGAGCCCGGCTGTACACGCCGTCGGCTCCAACCACGAAGTCTGCCGTCACCAATTCCCCGTTGAGATAGACGCCAGCCTTGTCGTCGCCTTCCCAGAAATCGGTGATTCTGGTACCAAAAGTGAACTTGACCCCGATCTTCACAGCGTAGTCGTAGATCAAGGTTTGAGAGCGAGCGCGGCTCGTGTAAAGGTTGTAGTGCCCGTTGTACTTGTCTTTCCAGTCCTGCTCTAGGAGGACTTCTCCCTTGTCGCTCTTGAAGGTGACGATCGCTGGTCTTGCCGACTCTGCGGCCATCTGTTCAACAACGTCACCCCACTTCTCCATGACGATGCTGGCATTGGCCGTCAAGGTGATGATATCTCCTGTAGGAGCAGTCAGTTTTGTGTCTCTGTCCCAGTATAACCTAGACTGGACACTGCACCACCACCCGATTTAGAGACACGAACCTAGGATCTGTAACTTGGGCTCCCTCTCCACCACATGGACGTTGCATCCCTTCCTCTTCAACTCAATGGCACAAGAAAGGCCAGCATATCCGGCCCCAATCACAATGACATCAATGTTATTGTTTCTGGAAAAGTCGTCATCCGCGGCAGTAGGTATGCTTCCCATGATGTCGTTCCAATATCTTTCGTGCGGCTTTCAGACTGTGTGTGGTTTTGGGGGGCCTGCACTATTTTCGCAGACTAACTTGTAAATAGTTTTTGTAGGAGCTTAACGCGTCTGTTGTGTTTGTGTGTATGTGTGTGCGTATGCCCATGGCCATGGACCCCGGAGAAGTTCGGGCACCCAACGAAGCAGAAGGCTTTACCGGACGGGTGTTGTCACAACACACATACCGACGCCAACAAATATGCTCTGGGTGCCGGATTCTCCAAACATATCGTGCATATCTCGGCTTGTCGTACTCTAGAGCGGGCTCGATCGTTTGAGGGCGACAAGCTAAAGATGCGAGCCACACCGACCGAGAGGCGGGGGAATTATCGAGGGAGGTTACCAGTAAGCCTTGAAAGCTCATTGGGGGCCGTTGGGATAATTCCACCTTTTCGGCTACTTGGAGGCAGTATGGGCATGAGAAGACCAGTTTCCCCCGAGATCCAGAAGTCAGCTGAGAAAGTGTTGCCACCTAGGACCGGGGAATTCAAAGTCGCAAAGTCACCCGGACGGCACCAATGGGTGGAGCTATACCATTTTCGGGAAAGTAAAAACACAGTCTAACCCGAAATGAAACTTTATTCGCTCGACTAAATGACCAGATTTAGACGGCGACGAGCTCAGGCATTACTCCACATTAACTGTTATGCAGTTCAATCCCCATCCAGCTGTTCATGGCCCATGGATTTCAGCATCTGCAGTAGTCCGGATGGTCGTGGGATTCCTTTGTGGCAACTGCTTTTAATTCATGATAAACCCGGCTTGAAAAGGCTGTATGGTAGCTCTATCAAGGTCCAGTCAAGCTGTCAAATATCGTTAGAGGATTTTGCCCCTTCTTCACCAACTACCAGGCTGATGGATAAATGTCTATTAGTTGGAATCAATGGTTAGGGAATAGTCTACGTCGAGCCACATGTGACATGCAATCTCGAGGAAATAAAAATGGTCATCGTCCTTCTATTCCATTTTCACAACTAATTATTCTCTTGTAAAGAGCTTGGACGTCTCTTGTATGTCTTGTGAAGGGCGAATATGCCAATTTTCAAGGAACTGTTAGTTTACCTGGGCTTATTGCGACCTGACTGGAGTGCATGGCCTCTACCGTCTCACAGCAATCTCGTGCCAAGGGTCACGAACCCATTTCCGCCGCTACGAGAGACGCAATGCAATTCACCGTCACAAAGAGGTCGATGGTGCGATGGGTTTTCCATCGACACGGACCCTGACGAGGATGGACCTACGACTGGGAATGTCTGTGAATACTTGTTCATCATCACAAACACCACCAAAGACTTCGACGGGGTGGAACGTCTTGCGCTGGCAGTCAACGGGCAAGTTCCCGGTCCAGCGATTGAATGCCAGTGGGGAGACATTCTACGGGTCAATGTGACGAACAAGATGCAGAACAACCAGACAGCGATGCATTGGCACGGTCTCAGTCAGCGTGGCGGCACCACCAACGACCAAGATGGAGTCCCTGGAGTGACAGAATGTGCCATTCCGCCGGGTCACAGCCGAATATACGAGTTCAAGCTGAGTAAATCAACACACCACATCTTTCCACTTTCGGGAATCTGGGCTGAATTTTGCTCTCTCTTGTCGTTCTGTAGAGCAGTTCGGTACAGCTTGGTGGCATTCCCATGCTTTGTCCCAGTTTGGCGACGGGATCCGCGGTCCAATCATCATTCATGGACCCGCGACAGCCGACTACGACATTGATATGGGCGCCATCATGATCGACAACCTGTTCGACAACAGTTCCAACCCGATCTCGACTCCAGCCTATGCCTCTCGCGTTCTCCACGTAAATGGAACGGGCTTTTGGAACTACGTTCTGAACGGTGCAAACACCTCACCCGACCTGACGAGGGGCAGACACGCCTTCTGGTCGGTGAAGCCAGGGAAGAGGTACCGTTTCCGCATCATCAATTCCGCCGTCCAGTCGGCATGGGCCGTCCACTTTGACCACCATAAGATGACGGTCATTGCAGCGGATCTCGTCCCCATCAAGCCCTACACGACCGAGTGGCTCAATATCGGCAACGGCCAGCGATACGACGTGATTGTCGAAATGGACCAACCGGCGGATGCGTACTTTCTGCGCGCCGTGGCTCAGCTGGGCTGTCCTGACGAAACACAAAACAACGGTCTCGGCTTCGCGAACGGGATTTTCCTGTATCAAGGGGCGCCCCTCCACCTTCCCTCGTCCACGGCGGGAAACAAGACGGCTGCAGACTTTCTGTATTGCGCCGATGAGCCGTTGTCTTCGCTCACCCCGTGGATCGAGAAGAGCGCTGGGTCCCGTGCGGCATTTGAAGCAAAGGCCAAGACCCTCCCGAGTGGTGACCGCTACCGCCTTACATTCAGTGACGACGGCACTGTGTGGCGTTGGCCCCTGAACGGCACCATCACTGTGAACTACACCCAACCGACCCTGGAGCTTCTTGCTCGTGGAATCTCTCCGTACGATAGGCCTATTGAACAGCAAATTGTCCTCCCGGAAAAGGACCAATGGGTTTATTTCATCATCCAGAACTTGTTTTATGCGGCCCATCCGATGCACCTCCACGGCCACGAGTAAATCCCATCCCTCCGCGCTCCTCCCTCCTCCTCCCCCATCTCTCAAGATTTTGGGCTGACATGTTTGCCTTTCACATAGTATGGCGATTCTAGGGCAGGGCAAAGAAGAATGGAATGCCGGCCTGATCTCCACGCTCAACTTTGAGAATCCACCGAGGCGAGACACGGCTCTTGTTGTTGGCAACATCGAAAAAGACCCCAACGTCGGAGGTAGGCCACTTAGTTCTATCTCCACTAAACAGAAGTTGCAATGCTCACATATTCTCTAGGCTATCTAGTCCTGGGTTTCAAAACTGACAACCCAGGCGTTTGGTTGCTCCATTGCCACATCATCTGGCACTCCGAGTCTGGGATGGGTTTGCAATTCATTGAGCGTCCCGACGAAATCCCTGCAAAGGCGTACACGAGCAAAGAGAGCTTCGTGCAAGAGTGTGCAGCCGAGTTGGAGTACGAAGAAGAGGACCCAAGCCACAAAAAGTCCGGGAGCGTGTCTGGGGTGTAAGTAGGACTTTGAAGATATATACATCACGACAACTGTCGATCCGACTTGCCACCGAGAAGATAGGTACATTGTAACAATCGTAAAAGAATAAGGAAAGACAGAAAAAGGGCAGGACACTGTGCTGCAACCTTGGTAGGTAGAACCATGTAGGAATAGTGACAGTAAAAAGTCCCTTGATCATGGATAGACGGGAAATGATCATTGAATCCCCAGCCTTTTCCGCGACATAACCACAAGTGCCTCATAATAAAAAGGCAGGCCCTTGCGGGTAACAAGCTTGATCCGGCACAGCAGGCGAGATTATTTTGACCAATCTGTACGAGTGTCTACCCCCCCCTGTGGCGGCTCAGTCCGGTGGTGGGTCGACTGGGCCATCATCCACGGTTGCTCCTCCACTTTTGAATTTCGGGCGGGAAAAAGTTCATGTATATAAAGGTTGGTCGGATCGCGAACCTTTCTGTGTCTGGCGTAGAATGTGCTAATTCGAAATCCTTTAGACTCTATCTAGTCGGTGCAAGCCTCGAAAACTTTCTTCTCGAGACTTTCGCTCTCAGCTCCCGGCTCCCTGTCACCGTTTCTTTCATGAGACCGTCTTTTTTTCTTTTGAAGCGATGCAGCCCGGACAAGGCACCAAGACGGTTCGCCCAAATGTCGTCGAGGATGTCGAGACGACGCCTCTTCTGCGAAACGAAGAGGCCCTTCGCAGCAGCGACACTGACGCCAATGTGGTCGACTGGGAGGGTATAGACGACGCGGAAAATCCTCTCAACTGGAGTGCCAGGAGGAAAACCGCCAACATCATGTTACTATCTTACATGACCTTTTTGACGTGCGTGTCACCACGAGACGTGGGAGTCTCTAGTGTGTGCTGACTGAGTCTCTATCCATCCAGTCCATTTGCATCATCCATGTTTGCTCCTTGCGTGCCGCAGGTCATGAAGGACTTCAACGTCGACAATGTCGAAATGGCCTCTCTGGTTGTCTCCATCTATGTGCTCGGCTATGCCTTTGGGCCTTTGGTCATTGCGCCGCTCAGCGAAGTGTATGGACGGAAAGCGCTGTACCTGTCCACCTCACTTTTGTTCCTCGTCTTCACGCTCGGGTGTGGCTGGTCCACGAATATACACATGTTGGCGGCCTTCCGATTCCTGGCTGGCACTGCAGGCTCGTGCCCCATCACCGTGGGCTCCGGAACCATCGCGGACACATTCAAGCAAGAACACCGGGGGAGGATTATGGGCCTGTGGCAGTCTTCTGTCCTGTTCGGGCCGAGGTGAGTTTTTCTCGTTCTTCTAGAGAGACAATGGCCGCGGTGCAAGGTGGTCGAGCTTACAGACTATATGATGGGCTGACTTGTGTGAAATACAGCCTGGGTCCCGTACTTGGATCCTGGATTGCCGACTCATGGAGCTGGAGATGGGACTTTTATGTTCTCGCCATCTGTGTAAGTGGGATTTGCCGACACAGGGATTACTTTTTTTTCCTTCTCCTGACATGGGCCTTTGCTGACTCCACCTCTGTGACATTCATTAGACGGCCGTCTATATTCTGCTGGCCGTCCCATTTCAGGATGAAACGTACCCGGTCTTACTACTGGAGAGAAAGGCGGACCGGATCCGAGCAGAGACGGGCAACGAGCAATTGCGGTCCATATTGGCGACTTCGGCCAAATCACCGCGAGAACTGCTTGTCATGTCGATCACCCGGCCCCTCAAGCTCCTGTGCGGGTCCCTCGTCGTGTTCAGCAGCTCCCTCTACGTCGCCGTCGGCTACGGCTACATGTACCTCATCTTCGCCACCATCACCCGGGTGTTTTTGGACCAGTACGGGTTCGACAAGAGGTCCGTCGGGCTCGTCTTTCTCGGAGTCGGGCTGGGCCAGTTTATCAGCCTCGGCTTGTTCAGCGCCACGTCGGACAGGCTCCTCAGGAAGCTCGCCGCGGCCAGGGGCGGCGGGGAGATGAAGCCCGAATACCGTCTGCCCCTGCTCTGGCCCGGCGCCGTCCTGATTCCTGCTGGCTTGCTCGTCTACGGCTGGTCGGTCGTATACAAGCTGCACCCCCTCGTCCCCATCGTCGGGACCGGCCTGCTCGGTGCCGGCACCCTCTGGACTTTCCTCCCCATCGGCATCTACCTGGTCGACGCATTTACCGTCTACGCCGCGAGCGCGACCGCCGCGACCACCGTGCTCCGCAGCATTCTGGGAGCGGTGGTGCCGCTGATCGGTGCTCGCCTGTACGAGTCCCTGGGTCTGGGCTGGGGGAACACCCTCTTGGCCGGCGTGTCGGTGGCCCTGACACCTCTGATCTGGGTCTTGATCCGGTACGGCGAGACGCTCAGGAACTCACCCCGGTTTCAAGTCAAGCTGTGAAAATTGTTAGTTACCGGTTAAAATTTTATTTTTGCAGTCACATGTGTGCGACCGAGCATTTTGACCGTGGGGTGTGAGAAAAAAAAAAGCAGATATTATCCCATTGGAGCGTGACCGGATATTCCAACCTCGAGGGGATTTTCGTCTGTGTTTTTCTCTCTTCTTGCTACAGAATGGATAATAAATAGTGCATCAAGAAGACGAATAGCGTACAAATTTTTTGAGGGGGGTTTTGATATTCCGAGACGAGATTTGCCAGGCCGACACACAGAGGAAAAGTAGTAAATGGTCAAGTTGCTATAGGGTACAGATTATCGCAAATGAAGAAAACAGGACGCAAGAGTTATCTCTTTCCCTCTCCTTGCGAAAAAAAAAAAAAGCTTGGATGAGGCGAGAGCTCTCACTTTGGCAGTCTTCTCATGTACAAGAAATATGCTCCAGTGGCACACAGTGTCGCCGCACACAGCATTCCGACTCGCTTCGCCTGCCGGGCCATGTAGATAAAGAAGTCGTCGGTCTGATTCGGGGCCTCTCCAGGCTTCTTGACGATGCCGGAGACTCGTTGCACCACTTCTTCCAGCAAAGGTTGTGGTTTTGCGTTCGGCATCGTCACCGAGACTCGTGATATTGTAAAGAGCTCGGGTGGGAACACGACGTCGGACGGCTGGGAGGCTGTTGAAGCTACACATTAGCCTGGGGCCATTGAACAGACACGAATGAGGATCGGGGGAAAGTTTACAAGAATAATGAGGGGTGACAGTAATAACAGAGCCCAGAGAGTAGACGTCGCTTGTTGTCCATTTTTCAAAATAGTCCGAGTTGGCTTTGCTGTAGGGCGCGAGGAACGCCAGGTACGCCGGGTGGGTCGGAAGTTTGCGCAAGGCATCAATAACGTGGTCGATGGTCCGGTAGACAACGACCAGCAGGACACCAGCTCGACGAGCCTGGTCGAGGGCAGCCTGCAAGCCTCGTGGCCTCGCATCCGAGCGGACTAACGTGGCAAGGTCGATCAGGAAGACGCCAGGGGAGAAGGGACCAGAGCCGTCCAGATGGAATTCCGCAGAGGTGGACTTCTTGTCAGCCAACCCTGTGCCATGGGATACGTCGTTGAAACTCTGCTGAAACGGCGCGATCTCGTCTTGTCGAAGAAAAACTGCACTGACAGCCTCGGGCCTGATACATCTGAAGCTGAAGCTGTCGAGGACCTGCTTCGCGATATCGTCGTGGGATTTGGGCCCTTCGTCCACGACGACCAGGCTTGCACCGGGTGTCGTTTTGACCAAACGGGCATTGGCATCGGGATTATTCAGTATTTCGTGATATGGTTCGGAATCTTCGGCTAGAGAACAAAGAGATATATATTCAGCAAAGACAAAAAGAGAGAGAGCACTACTAGGTATTCTGATTGGACTTACCAAAAATGGTTATCAAGTCGGCATCTCGGAGCGCGGCTACATCGTCCTCAAATCTCTCGAGGATGTGAATGGCGGCAGAGTCGAGATAGTTGGGCGCCTCCCTCCTGAGAGTCGTCCAGAATGCCGTCGACTTCTGAGAGAAGCCATTGGCAACGACGACCGTGTTGCCCACGGCGATGTTGGTAGCAAGTGTGCTGAAAACGAAACGGATCGGATTGGCACTGTCCACCACGACCATCGAGACTCCCACGGGAAGAAATTGCTGTTTCAGTCCTCGTTGTGGACCGGGCAGAGATTCCAAGGGAAAGGAGCTCTTGGACAGGTAAACATAGTGCCTTGCGACATCCTCGAGGACCAGCGCGAGTTCCTGCTCGTACTGTCGTTGTCGTCTCCCTGAGCCATTTTCTGCGTCTTTCCACAAACGGTCAGCCTTATCTCGCCCGGGAAGAACAGACAATGATTCCACCCGGGTGCTTACCCTTGCACAAGCTTTGTATCAAAGTCTCCCTCTGGGTCGTCAGAAATTCACACAAACCATACATCTGGCGCTGCCTCCAGTTCCAGCTGGAAGTGGTGGTTTGGATTGCATACGCGGCATGAGCGCTATGGATGGCACTAGCCGTGGCGGATGAGCCATCTTCCCTCGAAGCCATTGTCGCCGCCGTAGATGATGCCCATGTGCTAAAGGTCCGTCGTCGGGTCGTCGAGGGAAGAACACAGGGCGTGACGATGATGACGGTGGGCAGGTTGCGCGATCACCTTGCAGCCTCGTCAGGCGGAATGAAAGGGCCGAGAACTCCCCCAGTAGTAGCCTGTGACAACGTACTAGGTACTGCTAGTATGAGCAGGAAAGAAATTCATAACTCATTGGATTAGACTCTCCAACAGTACCGAGTACTTCACTGGCAAAAGTAACGAGGTACTCTACCGTGACGCCGGCTTCCACAGAAACCACCAAAGTTTTGTCTCCCCGACTTTTCTTACTTCTTGCGGGTAATTTCGCTTGGGGGTCTTTCGGGTCGTAGTACGGACGGAGCCGAGCAAGAACCGTAACCGTAAAGCCTCGCAACTATCACGCATTAGAGGCATGCTCCGGGAAAACTTAGCCTATATTGCCATTTACGGCCGGGCTTTCAAAAAGCCAAGAGATATGACTTCGCCGAAGGATGTGCCCGCCCTAAATGTACTCCACAAGGGAAATCTTGCCGTAGGCGCAGACAAGGCGCGCAAAAGCGGGGGCCTCGTTCTCCGGAGCTATCCATTATTGTTCGGCGAATGCTTTCCAACCCCAACCCCAACCCCAACCCCGGCTCTTTACAAGGTAACGCAGTAACGGAGCGAGTTACGTTGTTGTAGGAGCTAATTTATCTCCAAGCGTCACTAATTACACTATGCGCCGAAGTGGCGTAGGTTCTACACTACTAGGAATCGAAATCGATGAATTGACTCCCCTGTTGGGAATTGCCTCATCAGGAATTGAATCCTGCAAACGCTGGCTGGGCGACGTCCCAGGTCACCTCAGACCTTTTGAACCAGGAGCTTTCAAGGAAAGTCCAGACCGATGGGACTGGAATGTTAGCATAGAAGCATGCCAGGCGCGAAAGCCACTCATGAGTCAATGACCTCTCCTCGACCATAAGCCTCGGTACCAAATGCACGACGTCGTCCAACAGCAAGCGTCCCTTCCAGGATAATGCCAACACCACCCGCGCAGGAGATCTACTACATATCCTTTGCCCCGTTCTCGCACAGAGCTGAGCACAAAGTAGTGTACCTGGACTCACCTATGAAAGCTTGACCTATTGATCGACTACATGGTTCCTATACCGCCAGTGCCCACGATTGTGGCGGCTACCAGGGCATATGGAGTAGCGAGTAACTCACTCACTGGAGTTATCTGGGCGTTGCAGCTGCCGGATATCCAAACTATTTCATGTTCCTGGGACCGAACAGCCCAATCGGTAACGGCCCCCATGCTTGTGGGTGCTGAAGGTGAGTTGAAGTACCACAGGCCGCTCGTGCTTGAATGTTTGGGACCATCGTTTGATGATGAATCTCTACAGCTCGAGCCGACTATTTCTGCAAGATCAGATGACGAATCCAGCAAGAGTCCATCAAGTCGATTTCCGTAACCAAGGAGGCCGTTGACGATTTTATTGCCCACAAAGGGCAAGTTTATGCAGAAGACTATCTGGCAGCAAGACTGCCGTTCTTGGTACAAGGGCGACACTGCAGACGGGAAGATCGTCGCTCTCTGAGCCGGCAGCACCCTTCATTACCTCGAGACCCTGAAGGAGGTTCGCTATTAAGACTTTGATGTCAAATGCTTCGGCAACCGTTTCGATTATCTCAGAAATGGCATGACCAGACTGGAAATGACCCCAAATGCCGATCTCTCCACTTATATTCGACCCGCGGATGACGCCCCAATCCTAGGCTCTGTGCCTGTTTATACTAAAGTTGGACCCGAGCTGACAGATGCGAATGTTATGGCTCCTTCGAGTGCTGATGGGGAGAAGGCGGTGCAAGCCCAGCTCTAACAAATCTGAAAAGGACTGATATGGATGCGTCGTCGGAGAGATCGGGCGCCGACCTGTGTTCTCTACGGTGCTATTCGGAGAAACGCATGGATGCCGTTCGTTTGATGTATACAGACCGGCTTGAAGTTGTGACTGAGCATTTACGAGGACAAATCAGCGGCTGGGTCACTAGACCTACTCCATGCGATTCCTTTGGATGAACCTAGGGTACGTCAGACTACAAAAGTTCCTACGGGCGCATACCAAGCCATACAATAACGCGGTAGTATAATACCGTCTTTGCGCGTCTTCGCGCTTCGAGCCTCACATTCGTCTTTGTTCAGGAGAATCAAAGCCGTTCGTTTTGAATGTTGGTCACCTCGCTCTTGGTACATTGCGCGCGCCTCGTGCGCTAGATACCATCATGGGAAGCACAGCACCAAATGGGACTATCTGCAGATCTCACGATTGGTGTCAATAGATCTTGTTATCTGGATTTGCTGGATTCATTGCCATCGCAATGCTGGAAACAGATGGCAGTCAATGCTACCTTCAGACGCTTACCCCTTTTAGTGATACACTAGCCCTTTTTGGTCTAGTCTTATTGGCTGATACCCTTACTATAGGCTAGTTATGTTGCTGACATACGTGATACCCTCAGGCCTATCCTGCTCTTCTTTAGGTGGAGCAGATGACGCAGATGAATACCCTTTGATTCTGTTTCCTTCTGTACCTTCCGCAGCACATATTGTCCAGCTTAATCTTTCTTCAAAGGCTCACACCGCTCACAAACACTGAAGCGGCGCTTGAGCGGACACTTTCTGCTTCGCCAGCATGGCAGCGTGCTGTCTTTATGGCGCGTGTATCCTCTCCATATTTTTGCGAAAGCACCAGGTCATCTCGTCGTATTGGCTCTCTGATACGCCTCTGGCAGAAAGAGATATTCGGCAAGATGAATGACGGCAGACTTTTGACCGCTTTGAGGTTTTCAAGATCGACGGCGTGACCTGTTCAAGCTGTATCTCTAGTATAGAGTCGACGTTAGCTCCTCACCACGGTATCAAGCGTGCAAATGTCGATTTCCTGTTAAGACACGCCGAAGTCGCGTACAATCCCATGGAGATATCTCGACGGAAAATCATCGACGAGCTCGATGCCACAGGCTCGGCCTCTCTTGTGCAGAACGAGGTCCCATCGACGGGCCAATCGTTTTACGGCGTGGAACTGGGGAGAATTCTGCATTCAACTGATGGTCTTCTCCTTCTGGGATCTATATTGATTCTGGAGTACTTTTCGACGGCAATCATTGCGGAATGAACAAGACGTCTCTACGTTCCTGATACTTTGCCGGGGTTGTCCAGTTTGGGTTTGGATATCCATTTCATCGACACGCATACTTCGCGATTACAAAAGGTGGCTGGCTACAAGAATCCCCCGATGGATGTATTGGGTGTCATTATCCACACTTGTGACATACTTATCCAGTCTCTACCATTTCCTTCTGCACAAGACAGACAATTACTCTCTCTGGTCGTCCCGTCTGGTCATTGTCATGACACTGAGCAACCATTTGGATGCCCTCCTGAAGTCATCAATTACGGAGATTACCCGGGCCTTCGCTGAGACCGTACCAAGCCACGCTCGTCTCTTCGATACTGGGAACTGGATCCCGGTGAAAATTCCATCGCAGCACAACGCCCCATGCAATCAATGCCAAGCAAGAAGCGACTAGCCAGGCGGTGGAGATGCTGGGTATACCCTTTGGCGTAGACCTGACGACCTTGAGCTCATGTCCGCCGGGGTAGTGCAGTAAGAATTGGTTGGGTAGCAAGACCAGGGGATTCAACAACGTCGTGACGATAGCTGTGATGAATTATTTTACCTGGCTTATATATCCAAGATGGCGGACGACGGTCAAGGAAGAGTATTTGTGCTAGGAAGCCGCTGCCAGTTGGTTTACAGCAAAATCGGCGACGCTGCAAGATGCATATATATATGGAGATATCCAAGCATTCGTACATTATTCCATGGCCCAACTCTCTTTGAGAGCTTCAATAACAGACTCCGTGGGCCAGCCGCTTTCTTTGCCCGTGGCAGAAAGTAAATCGATGATGGCCTCTTGCTCTGGTGGACTTCTGAACCACCCGCCACCTGGAGATGGTGTCTTGGTCAATTGTATGTCCCCTGACATGTTCTGAGCTTCACCACTTACAGGTAAGCAAAATGGCACACAGCGTGAATCGCGTGGTGACAAAGTCGTTCGATGAGGCGATCCCGCAAGCGAGTCTTGCATGTTCGAGAACGTCACGCTATCCGTTCGACGAGTGTGGTGTCTAAGGTCAGATCTCTGGTCTGTATGTGCATTGGATACTAATTCGAGGTTCACTCACCTCCATCTCAAGATGGGCTCGCTGGTATTTCAAGCCTGCGCCCGGGCGCTGTAAGCTCGGATTGTAAAGCGCGAGCAGTATTTTAGCTAGGTGATAGTACTGCCATCCGGTGGCTGTTTTCCCACAAGGGATGTCAGAGCCATTACAATCATCAAGGGCGTAAGTGTGTAAAAACACTCACCATGCCACGGGTCAGACAGCCAAATCTCCGGGAAATGACGGCCATCCTCTATTGACCGTTCACGATAGAACATGGGGGTGAACGAGGTCGGCTTGTTTTCATACCACTCCTTCACCTTTTGAACATGGTCGTCGTACGTGACTGAGTCGGGGGGTTCGTCTCCAAAACAAAGAGTCATAATGGCAACCGTGACCCATACCATACGATTGGCCCAGTGGCAATCCGGTCTTGTCATGTCGCTGGTCAAGGGCGGTTGAATCGAAATGGGAGTGCGAGGGGGCTGCCTCTTTGGCAAAGACATGTAGATATCCTGCCGAACAAATTGCCAAAATGCGGCTTGCGACAAGCCCTCACCCAGCGGGCAATCGGGAGAACTGAAAAGGGCCGAAACCCCCATTAGATGGTGGCCATGGTCCTGGCCCGTGATTACGACTGAGGGAAATCTGTCAGTTCCTTTCTTTTTGGCATCGTTTCCCAGACCAAAACGTACCGTTCAGCTCCTCATACTTTCGAAGGATAACTACCGTTGCCAACACATTATCGTTGGACACGCAGCGCTCGTCATTGAGGAGTGGGATCAATTGGATGTTGCACCGCGAATGGTATTCCTCCGCTATCGAGGGCCTTAGGGAAGACACACGGCTGAGATGGAGGGCAGACAAGGCAAAGATGGCGTTCATGAGCACCTCGCAGTTCGAAGCTCTTTTGGGCACTTCGAGCTGGAAATGTCTGTTGGAATCCGTGACATCGAACTTTGTGTGGCGATGCTAAGTATCAGCCAGGAGTCGGGCCAGCCAAGACATTCTAAAGGTCTCTTACCCATGGAGCCAGTGTCTGGCAGAAATGGCGCAGCAGATGCGCCTCTGTGCGATCTTTGATCAGGCACGAGGATCGCTCGCCAGCCTGACCGGAATCGACCTCGTTCCGTCTGGGGTCGCAACTCATGCCCGCATCACTGCTGATAGATGACGTGTTTGTCGCGAACCCGATCAAGCCCATAAAGTCCAAGCTGGTCTCCAAGCTGGTCTCTTCCTCAGGAAAGCTCAGGTCCACTGTAGGACATTGAAGGGCGTCAGACGGAGGAGCATTTGATGCCATCTGATACAGGCTCGTCGTATCTCCTGCGCCGAGCATGGGCGACGAGTCCTTGCTGCTGCCCATCGAGAGCTCGTCATTCTGCTGCTGCTGCGGTGACGCCTGTTGAGACAACAAGTCTTCTACCGTGCTGTCTGTCAGGAAAGTCACTACTGAGGGAGTCAGTGAAGGCCCAAAAGCTCCGAGCCACGGAACCAACCGCACAGATAGGAGGAATTTCAACCCAACGGCGCTCCTTCCTTGTCTCTTGGTTGTTGGAAGCGCTGCATCTTTTCCGTCCTTTGGGCTCGCGCCATTGTGAGAACCGCGGACCCCTCTCACACACTCTCCTTGCAGCCTGGCATCTCAGACAGGCAGGCCGTGTCTCGTCGCCTAGAAGACGAAACTATCAGATGTGCCGTGGTGTCAATGTCCTAGCCCTTTTGCCTGCTTACACTTCAAATGGCGGAGACGGCACTCTGTGCTATACAGATCGATCAATAAAGGCGCGGACTGAACGGTGGTACGAGGCTTACCATCCACGACGCGATCGTTGGGTTTCCATGATTTCTTCGTTGGCGCTAGCAAAAACCTCCTTGCGTCCGCATCTACATGCCTAGCCTGCAGAAGAACGAGTTCTGATCGCTAATATGCGGAGAGATGCTCCTCGCCGAACAAAAACGCAAAGAAGAAAAAAGCACGGAGATGGTCACAATTGGAGGACGGTTTTCAAGAACCAGAGCGCCAAACGCTGGTATGCGACACGGATCCCCGGACTTCATATCCTACCCCGCTGGGGAGGTTCTCGAGGCATAAGGGTGAGCCATCAATCCGGGGTACCGAGAGCAACTCCGCTTTGTGATTGACCTTCAGGCTCTGGGCATCGATAGACTGGCATTCAACCCCCCAAATTATGCAGCACCGAGGAACTGGAATGACCTGGACATGCACGATCCAATGAATTCCTACTGGGCCAGACCCCCAAACTTGGCACCAATTTCGAGGGGCTCTAAACCCGATTCTTTCGCCGAGTGCAAATGCCCGATTTTTTTGGGAACAGTCGCAAACTAAGAGATGGTGCCAACCCCGTCGAGCCGGAGCTTCTCTGAGCCTTTGACAGAGGGAGGGCACTCTGTCGTCCACAGACACTGCTGGAGTAACAGACTCTCTGTGTTCTTCCAGCCAAGTCTGTTGACGGGTCTTCATGGCCGGAGATTCTCTGGTGCCCCATTATGAAGTTTTCCATGGCCGGTATCAATTTGTGGGACAATGTTACCGCTCTTCGCAGCCCATCATTCATCGTCACCTTGCCCACGTCGCGCCTACAGGGAGATCAACGAAATTGATCTCCAGTTGCTCGAACAACAGGCATGTCGACAACGAATCCTGTAGAGGAAAATGTCAGCGCCAATCAAGAAAAGGAAAAGGAAAGAAGGGTCTTTGGTTCTAACCAAGTGGCTGCCTTTCAGACCTCGTGCGACACACGAAGCTGGAAACCACGCAGGAGGTGAGTCACTCTGCCCTCGTTCGCGACATGGAGGAAGGTCCGAGTTCACTTGCCGTTCTAATGCTTGGGAACGTAATCCTCGTATAGTGGTTGAGCAGTCATGGCTGCTGCACACAGGAATAATGAGAAGATATCATATACCTAATCCCTCGTTTGACCAAGGACATGGGATTTTCAATGATTCCCGGGGGTATATCAAGGCCGGCCTAAAGTGAACTCACTCTGTGTAGATGGACCGAATTGCTTTTCCACCATTGGACATGTAGCCGATTTCTTCTATTTCCGAAATGACTCGAACATCTAGACCCCCCAGTCCTGAAAGCAACTAGATCCTGCATGATGTCGGGCAGGCAATAATATATTGGTTGGTCGTACATTGGCTCTCCCACCCCCACCATGATCTTGGTGCGACAAAGGAATAAATCAAGGCCCCTGTTTCTCAAGTTGTCTGCCCCAATATCCCCTGCACCGTGGTTGAACAAAAGCACTCGGTAAAAAAAAATGGACGAGATCGCAGCACTTCGGCACCTTGAGCTCTACGAGGCGGTGGTGCCCACGAGTGAAATATGCGGCCACTTACTCGAGCCGCGAGCCGCTGTGATCAACGCGGCACCGCGAGAGACGTTCAAGTACGGCCCGCATGCGCGGCATGATCTGGACTTGTATACACCTTCAAAGGGCACGTCACAGGAGAATAATCCTCTTTTGGTGTTTTTGTACGGCGGCGGGTTTGCGTCCGGAGACAAGCTCTTCGACCTGATACCCGGCGACCTGGTCTACAAGAACCTGGGTTCATTCTTCGCCGAAGAGCTGGGTTTCGACGTGGCCATCGTCAACTACAGATTGACGGCGCACGGCGCCAGATTTCCACGGGGCGCGGACGATCTCGACCTGGCCCTCAGGTGGCTCGATGAACGGTACAAACCTCAAGGTCCCCGGGATTTGTACATCATGGGCAATTCAGCTGGTGGGATCCATCTCACGACGTGGCTCTTTTGGCCAGACTTTCGGGATACGATCAATTGGCTCGTCTCGGGCACAGGCACGCTGACCCTGCGAGTCGGCATCACGCTCGGCTGCCCATTCACGTGGCCCCAGTACGTGATCGACTCAAAGGTTGGGGACAGCGTCAAAGGCTACTACGGCGACGAAGCAAAGGTCAAGGAGAACGCGGCTCTTTCGCTGGTTCAGAAAGCTCTCGAGACCGTGCCAGTCGAGACAAAGTGGCCGTCTATGTTGGTCCTGGTCAGCGAGATGGACCCTGCCGACATCCGAGACTCTGGAAAGCAGTTCGTCGACTTGTGGACATCATCTGGACGCAAGGGCCAATATCATGTCTTGGAGGGACACAACCATTTCAGTACCGTGTGGTCATTACGCTCTGGTGGCGAAGCTGAAGAAAAATGGGCTCGGGATACGGCCAAGTGGCTGCAAGAGTTGATGAGATGAAATTGAAGACATGTTTAGAGATCAAAAATGCAGAGTGAAGCATTTGTGGTTTCCCATTCGCATCTTCCAGGGCGCATAGTTGCTATATTCAGACTCGTTCTTTACTCGGCCACTGGAATAGATAGCCACGCTGTTTGGTTGTCAAACCAAGATAATAGCCGGATTCAGGAACCTGTGACCGTCCATGCTACCCTCAACTTCAGCGACCACAGCATTTGGAGGGCCTCCACAGCCATGATGACTGGTTGCCATGCAGTTCCTGTCCACTCCGGGCGCAAGGTGGGCCGCCATCACCACCTGCTCCCCCTCGGCGGTCGCAAATAGAACCTGAAGTGGGATATACTTATTTCCAGCTGGGACTTACATGCTTGGATCCCACTCGCCTAGATTTCCCGGCGCGAAGGCGGGGAGTCTTGCCCTTGGACCCCCGGCTTCGGAATCAACCTTGCCTCGTCTGGACGGCCAGTAGTTCGGCGACACGATATGCGAATACCTCTAGCCAGAACAATCACATGAGCGGCCGTCTTCTACAACCAGGGTTCAACCTCATTCGAGAGTCCGATAATGATTCGAGGAAACGACAGCTGACATAAACAGCTTTCGCGGGATCAAGGGTCCCTTCGGGTCATTTATGATTCCGTCGAAATTCTAGACATCCTTTTTTTTTTTGTCTTGCTGGGCTGGAGAACAACTAAACACTCAGAGGTCACTGAGGTTCCGTCGAGAGCAACAAGATTGTTGTTTTCACACTTCTTCTTATTTCGGCTGGCTAGCTACCACACCACGCGCTCACACCTGTCATATCCAAAATGGGGTCGGTTCAACCGGATATCACGCCCAATCTCTCAGAAACGCTCAAAGGGTTCAAAGTCATCATTGTCGGCGCTGGCTTCGCGGGTCTAGCATGCGCCTCGGACTTGGGCAGACGAGGGGCCGACGTCACGGTCTTTGAGGCCGCCGACGCTGTCAGGACTGCAGGTTGGTACCAGGTCTCAAAAAAGAAAAAAAACGTCTCTTAGACCAAAGCTGGTCGTCGTCGACCGGCCGCTGACGGTGTCTGATCCCCAGGTGACATAATTCTGTTCGGTCCCAACGCCACAAGGATAGTCAGCAAGTATGGCAAGGGCTTGCTTGAGGAGCTCATGCGTGTTGCCTCTCAACCACCATATATGCCGATCATGGACAAGCACGGAAAGCTCCTGTTGCAGCAGGAAGCCGAGCAGGAGTTTGACGGCTGGCCGAATGCGTACGGCTATCGAGGACACACCCAGAACGTCATGTTTCAATTCGCGAAGCAGATTGGGGTCAAGTTTGTCTACAACAGCAACGTCCAGCAATATTTCGAAGATGATCATTGTGCCGGTGTCATCGTTGACGGGATCAGGCACGAAGCAGATCTGGTCGTTGGCGCCGACGGCATCCACAGCAGAGCCCGGTACTTTGTGACGGGGAAAGTGGACAAGCCGCAGCCCAGTGGGTTCGCCTTGTATCGGGCCTGGTTTCCGCTCGAGGTCCTGCGCAAGAATCCCGTGACAAAAGAGATCGCGGATGCTCCGTATCCCTGGTTTCACGTCTGGATCATGGAAGACTGTCACGCCATCATCACCACCAACAAGGTCCTTGACCGAGGAACGTGCTTTGCCACCCACCGAGTAAGTAGGTCCGTGTGAAATGTGCATGTTCCCAACAGACTAAAGTGATTTGGCTAGGACGACCGCGATATCAAGGAGGACTGGACGCTGCCGGGGCGGAAATCAGACATGCTGAAAGTTGTCGAGGGCTGTGACGAGCGTTTGGTCGAGACGGTCAAGGAACTGCTCGAGGAGAACCTCATCGACTATAAGATCTTGTGGAGAGATCCAATCAAGCCGTGGGTGTCATCAAAAGGCCGCGTGTGCATTGTCGGTGATGCCGCGCATCCACATCTGGCGACATCTGCGACAGGCGGGGCGCAGGGTGTTGAAGATGGCGCCACCATTGCTGCATGTCTCGAAGAAGCCGGAAAAGGAGACGTCCCCACGGCACTGAGAGCTTTCGAAAAGCTCAGGTACGTTTTATTGTCAAAGCCCCCAAGAGTACATCGGCCGCGGCTATTCTACTTCCCTCACACGGTCAAGTTCGCGCTTCTAACTTGTCTCGGCAGGTTTGAACGGACCTCTCTGACGCAGCGTATGGGCTGGGAGTTGCGGCACCGGTGGCACCAGACGGATTGGGACGCCGTTGCCAAAGACCCTGAATACCTGAAGTTTCGGCAACCGGCGTGGCTGGTGGGTGTTGATGCTGAAGACTATGCCCATCAAAACTATGCTGCCGTCGTTTCCCACCTGAAAGATGGAACTCCATTCACCGCAACCAACGTGCCAGAAGGATATGTGCACGAAGACTGGACAGTCAGCGAGCTGATGGAGAAAGAGAAAGGCAAAGCAGACGAAGAATTCTTCAAGGTCAAGTGAAGATGGATGCCTTTTGTCTGGATAGGCTATGTACCTGGGGAACAATAGATAGATACTGTGCATATTGGGATTAGGTGCAAGGTAGGAGGACGTTCAGGGTAGAGCTCATGGGTGATATTATCATTCAGACCAATATTGCAACATCGATCTCATTCATTTATCCTCTGTGACAAGTACTTTTGGGGTGACCAAGATCCTCTCTCGGCTCGAAAGTTGAAACCAGGCGAATGCACACCGTGGCTGGTGGCTGGATTTGGAAGTGCGAAAGGGGGACTTCTTCGTGAACGGGGGGAACCTAAGACTTGGATAGTGCCTCGTGGGCAGAGGTCTAGCTTAGATCACATGGCTGCACCTGGAAGGAGAAGTAGTCGCAAAGACTTGTCCGGGGAGGGACTTTGGAGGAAAAGTTGCGAGCCAGACAAAGACCAACCCTCGAGACCTCGACCGCAGGCGCTAGCCGCTTTGGGAAGGGCGGCTCCACTTCCCCGGCAGGTAGTGGCCGAGGCTGAACTTCCATATCTACTTGACGACGCAGGGTCTGGTTTTGGTGTTTTCTTCCGGCGAGCGACCTTTTGCCCTTGTTGTACTTGTAGGCGAATAAGCAATCCATTCACGTGCCCCAGATCTCAGTGCGTTCTCGGCTCTTGAATCTGGGGGAGGGGCTCCCAGATGACTGGCCCTACCAATCGCAAACACTTCGGACAGAAGCCATTCGTGTACATTGCCAGTTTGGATCTCCTTCGGCCCAGACTCGCGCTCGCATCGCTTCCATCGAAGCATATATGGCCAGAACACATTCCCAATTCCCCAAGAAATAAATCATCTCTCTGACATTGTCCCCCTTGTTCGAATACTTCGCCGTGAAAAATACATTTCGTACGTTCGATTTGGGAAGCACCATGGGCTCTAACAAGGAGCCTTTTGAGGAAGTGGAGCAGATGGACCAGCTACGAGAGAGCAAAGGCATTGGCAATCAGGTTGAGCACCCAGTAGCAGAACCTCATCTCAACTGGCGCGTCATTCCTGTGACTGTGGTACGTTGGTCCTGTTCCCAACCGGCAGGACTCAAAACAGCATGCTGACGAGACCCGAACAAAAAGGCCTTCTGGCTCGCATGGTGTGCCTGGCAGTGCACCTTTAATCTTCTCTCGGGTATCCTCACCTATGTCAATGCTGACATAGGTCCTGACCCCAACTATACGTGGGCCGTCATTGTGATCAACATTGGCATAGCTGTTATTTGGCCCATTGCCGGTAAGCTACGGTCTCCCCCTGGGAAAGTCTTGCTACGGAGGGTTGATTTTGATTGTCTCGCTAGGTTCTCTCTCCGACACTTTTGGCCGACGATACTTCTTCCTAATCGGCCTGAGCTTTTCCTTGGTTGGCTCCATCGTCGCATGCACTGCTCAGAGTATTCCCATCCTGATCCTTGGGAATACCATCCTCGGTATTGGAACGGCGATGCACCAAATGATCCTTGCGGGAATCTCGGAGATTTTCCCAAACAAATATAGAGGCGTGGCAATAGGTACGAGACCTACCCTCCCCGTTCTCAAGCGTCGCCTTGGGCCCGTCGATTGACTTGTCCCCGCCATGTCAATTTGGACAGCATCCGTGAATTTTGTTTCCCTGCCCTTCGCCGGCCTCGGGCCCTATGTTGCCCATATTATCGTCGAACGTCTCACTTGGCGGTGGATCTACTATGTGGCCATCATCATCGATGTGGTGGCTTTCGTCCTGCTCGCCGTTTTCTATCATCCAGTAAGTTGGTGGAAACATCATCACCAGGCACCGCTTGGGCTCCCGCGATCACACAGCTGACTTTATTCAATTAGCCCAAGCCACATCGGGAGCTCTCACGACGGCAGTTACTAAAGAACATTGACTTCTTTGGTTTGGCACTTTTTGCGGTAAGGAAATCCCCCTCTCCTACCTTGTGTGGCGAGACAATGGTACCCAAGGACTTTTACTGATGAGTTCATCCAGCTGGGCCTCACGGTCTTCCTGGTGGGTGTGTCTTGGGCCGGGAGCACGTACTCCTGGAGTTCTGCTGCGGTCCTAGTCCCGATGATTTGCGGCGGTGCTCTTCTCGTGGCGTGTGGGATTTGGGGTGAGGCCCGGCCGGCACTTTTACAGAAACTTGCAAAAACCCCTCGGCTGACAATTTGTGTAGAGGTCTATGGGACCAAGAATCCCTTATTTCCCTCGTTTCTATTCAGGGATATGAGAGGGTAAGTCGGCCCCTCCGAGAAAGCACGGCCGCGCGGGGTTACTTACATGTTGCTGAAACTACTTTGAATTAGATTCACCAACGTCATTCTCATCTGCTTCGTGGCGTCGATGCCGCTGCTGTCGTCGCTGACCTTTTGGCCGATGCAAATCGCCAATCTCTACACGACAGACGCGGTCAAGATCGGGCTCTACACCTTACCCTTGACCATGAGCACCGTCTTTGGAGGCGTATTGACGGCCACGATTCGATGGTGGAAGCCTACAAACTACTACCTGGTCGGGTGCGCATGCCTGTACACCGTCTTCACGGGGCTTTTGTCGACTCTCGGACCCGGGGATCTCAACAAGGCGTTGGCCTACGCTTTCTTGTACGGCTCCGGCGTGGGACTTTTGGAGATTGCCATCATCGTCATCGTCCAGTTCTCGGTCAGCGCGGACCATCTCGGTGCCGTTACTGGCATCCTGAGCAGCATGCGTGGAATTTCCGGGGCGGTAGGAAGTGAGTTTTGTCACCCCATGTTGTGTACAAACCCCCGACCGAGTCCTACCCTCGTCGGTTTCTAATGGTTGGTTTTACTGGTGCAGTCTCCATCTACGGCTCGATTATTTCGACGCGCCTGGCTCAAGACCTGCCGCAGAGATTGGCGGGTGCCACACTTCCTCTGGGGCTTCCTGAGAGCTCATTCCCTCTCCTCCTCCAAGACATCTTCTCTGCCAACTTTGCGGGGATCCCGGAGATCCCAGGAATCACGCCAGCGATCATGCAGGCCGCCGACACGGCAAGGAGGCTTTCTTGGGCTGAAGCATTCAAGTAAGTCCTTGCAACCGTCCCACGACTTATCCCCCCTCCCCCCCCTTCCCCGGGGATGCCCGGGCTCCGTTCTCGCGCAAAAATGGCATTGGTACTGACAATGAGACTCTACAGGCCGATTTATTGGCTTGGAGCTTCGCTGGGCGTTGTAGCCGTCATCCTGTCCTATTTCACGCACGACATCACCCCCAAGATGGACAACCAGCTAGATCTCGATCTGAAAGAACATGAACCTTCCCACCTTCACAACGTGCTTCCACATCACCACCATCACCACCACCACCATCAGGATGACAAGAAGGGAGAGGTAGAGCAGCAAGAAAATCGCGTCCACTCTGCCGTCTAAATGTCGGGCACGGCCATTCATTCATTCTTGTGACCAGATGCTGGATGTCCCTCGGCGAGACGTCTGGACTTGAGGCGAGCAGAATTCTGACACTGCTCTCTTCGGGCCCCATATGTACGCTCTTGTTCGGGTAGTACTAGTAGTTGATTCGTTACTATGGGGTTGATCTACTAGGTGATCCGAGTCCCAGGAAGAGGGCTGAGAAATGCAACAAGAATGAAGATGTGAAGATGAGCCCTCTACTTCGTCTGAAATAGGAAGTAGAGACATAATAAAGCCAAGACTGTCACAGACAAGCAGGCCAGGGGGCTGCTCGAATATCCACAGAGCCGTTACTAACGCTCGCATGATCATGGCGGACGAGGGAAAAATCTCCCCTTTCAAGCTACCCAACCAAATATCGCACAAGTCGTGCGCATATTCACGCGAAGCGCTGATGGGTCACACAATCAAAAGCTCGGTTTCGTAACAGACTGATGAGTTCGCTGCCCTCTTTCCCATTGCCCTCCAAACACCCGGAGTTTCATACCCCGCCCATACCCTACCTACCAGACATGTGTTTTCCGGCGAGGAGGTCAAAGCTCTGTGAATTTCATCCCTTGGGGGATCTCCCGCCACTGCAACTCGTCGTCGAGGAGCGAGTCTCGAGCTTGCTCCCATTCCTTCTTGATCATGGCGGCCCGTTTGGCAGACCTCGGCACAATCGTAGCTGGGTATGGTTCGGGCATGACCACGGCTGTCTGGGTGAATCGCTCTGGCGTTGGGGGAACTTCTTTGCCGTTGATGACGGCAGGTTTGAAATCGAAAGCCCACACCAATTTCGACATGGCCAGAAACAAGATGTCGTCGGCAAGGTGGGTCCCCGGGCAGAGACGACGACCGCCGCCAAAGGCATAATGATCTCGCAGGTCGGGATCCGGGTTTGTGGCCGCTTCGAAAGAAGTCTGTTCGTCCTTCAGGAACCGGGCAGGGTTGAATGTTCGCGGGTCTTTGAACCGCACTGGGTCGTTGTTGAGAGTCCAAACGTTGATCAAAAGCTCGGCGCCCTTGGGCAAGACATACCCCATGTACGTCTCATCGCAGGAGAGGCAATGGGGGATTCCAACAATGACAGGAGGCATCCACCTCAGGGACTCTTTCACACAGCTTCGGAGGTAGGGGAGGTTCTCGCGGTCGCTCAAGTCAGGCAGCCGACCATCACCAACAACACGGTCAAGTTCTCGCTGCGCCTCCTTCAAAGCCTCAGGGAACAGGATCAACGCTTGAATAAAGCCGAGGAGGTTATTGGACGAGGTGCCCGTCCCCGCCTCCATGGAGCCGCTCGAGACGTATGCCGCTCTCAGATCGGTGAAACCTTCCTTCTTCTGCAGTGTCACTAGATCGGCGGCAAAGCAGGGCTTCTGCGTGCCCTGTGCCATGGCAGTTTTGACCTGATTCCACAGTCGCAAGTAGATCGACATTTCGGTCTTGGTGTGCTCGATCGCCTTCCTCTTGGCCGGGAAGAGGAAAGCTGGCACCCATTGCAGGATGGGATATGCATCAGCCAAGGCTGCCGAGGTGACTTGGATGATACTCGACGTCTTCTCCAGCCTGTAGTTGTTGTTGTGTCAAGTTAACAGACTGACTTGGGGGAGGGGGGGGGGGGGAAGAGTGGAAACAAAACCAAGTGTCACCTACGACTTGAGAATTTCTCTCATGGTGGGATTATCATATTCAGGCACACGTCTCCTATTTTGCCGTCAGAGGGTGAGGCTATTTGCAACACCAAAGTTGGATGTTTGCATTACCCATATGTGACCATCATAGCCATTGAGTTGGTGTATCTAGGAGAGGGTGGTATCAGCCTCAGTGACCTCGTATTATCTTTCGACACACATAAAGTCATTGCTACCTCTTGATATGGTACAGGAAGCCATCTGGTTTCGTACTGAGATCGTATAGCATTTTCTTGCTTTCAAGCTCGAGATATCTAGCAGTCTGTTAGTCTCGTCTGTGCCCATCTCGGGTCTCTTTGATGTGCTCGGTACGGAAGATAAGTTTTAGCAGCAGCCGCCGTCAACAGTCGATGGTACAGCTTGCGTGACAGTCGCCAATCAGGCCCATAGCGCTGGAAAGATGGTAGTTTAGTTACCCGTGACAATACTCGGTACGGCCACTCAATTCAGCTCGCTTTTACACACCATTTGCAAAATGCGTTGACCATTACCGAGAAGGTCATGAGCAATATAATGTGGGCCACGCTCATTTGTCGACGCGCTCCTCTTGTCAATGAGTTCTTTAACCACCTTTCCATCCGAAAGTACTATCATCGTCTGTACGCCTAGTTTGATGCTGTAGATTGGTCCGTACTCGTGAGCCCATTTCTGGAACTGTTTGTACATGTCTCTTTTGGGCATCTACCACGGACTCTGCTTAGCATGCGAGACAGCGGTTGGAAAGCTTTCTACCTGCGAGCGAACTGAGTTACCTGTTTGATATTCCCCCAAAATGGATCGGTGGGCGGGCCAGGGGGCAACCCGGGTGGTCGTTGCCCGATACGTGAGAGGGTATAATAGAGGGCGAACCCGACGCCCACGAGGCCGAACAATAGCAGTTGTTGAGTGATAGTCATCGTGAACAGCCCGGTCTACCGTTTGTCAAGGAAACCATGGGCCAAGAAAGTAGGATGAGAGGGATACAAAGGTAATCCGTATGTAGGTGTATCTTTCAAGCCTGGACTCTTATACCAGAACGTTGAATAAGATGGTTATGACAGTGAGAGTGTGCGTCAGATGGATTGCCGTCACTTCCGTTGGCTGAGCTCCATGACCAAAAAAAAAATAGTCTGTTTCGGTACAAACGTATGACCCCGTTGAGAGGAGATCCGATCGTCACCGCGACGTACAGTTACTAGGGACTTGTTCGATGGAGGAAATTTACCCGCGACTTTGAAAGCCGTCAAGGGAAACCAGTATCAAGTGATGCCATGCCGGAGATTCCCCAGGTTGCCAGGTCAAGTTAGCGAAGAGCGGAGTGCAGTGCCATGCTTGTTCCGTAGGTCCTTCTCGTTCACCGGTGATCGCTTTTGGTCGGCGCAGACTCTTCTTGACACTCGCCGAATTGTTCCCCGCCGCATCCAAACTTGTCTCTGGGCGAATGCAACTGGCCGGGGTCAAAGCTGATCTTTTGACCAGGTACGCAACCAAGCCTTTCAGACCCTAAAGGCTGGATGGACATGTCAGGGTATTGACGATTTAATCGAGTTTCAAGTTCCGAAACGTAATTCTCCGGCAGCCTTGTTCGTTTCTATCCTGGTTGTGGTCACATGGTCCAATAGACGCCTCTTTCGATGATACATTCCCTTTTAGGACAGATTGCGTACCTTCCCTAATATGTATCTACTCTCCCCACTTCGATGAAATGCTCATGCTTGGACAACATCAGCTGCACTAGGGGTGAAAATAAATATGATATAGACATCTTCACTCGGAATGCCAAGTCATTGTTCCTTCATACTGCACGTCTATGCGAGCTTTCCAGCAACAAGTGTCTTCAAGTCTTCCTCCGTCAGCTCTTTGATACCAAGGAGTTCGTTGTCGTTCTCGTCATAAGCGGCGCCGTAAGCGTCACCAGCAAAAGCTGTACCCCCTATCACCTTCAAAATAGCAGCTGTGCTAAAGTCACCAGCGCTGAGTCCGTCCAGGCCCTCTTTCAGCACTGCGCTTGCCGGTACCCGGGTAATTTGCCAGTTGATATCCGGTCTCAGCTCTCGTGCAATTCGCAGCAGCTGGTTCTGCGTCAAGATGACCTCGGAAACTCGCACAATCCTGTTCTCCGTGGCCTCGAGATTCTTCAAAATTCCAACAATAGCCTTCCCGATAACGGGCAGCGACGTGGAGCTAATCCTGTTGTCACCCTCGTCGAACAAGACGGCCTTGTGATTAGTAAAATCAAGAAGCGCGGGAGACCCAAACAAGAACTCTAAGAAGCCACCGCATGCAAGGACAGTCCAAGTCAGCTTTCCCGCCTTTGCCTTCTCCTCAAGATAGCGCTTGATCTTGAACATCGAGGCATAGACGGGCAAGTTTTCGACTTTGGGGCTGGTCGTGACAGTTCCATATTCGGAGGGGATGAAACGCTTCACCCCGGCGGCGATGGCGGCGTCGATAAGGACGGTTTGGTTCTCGATGGCCTCACCCGCCACGGTGGACACGAGCGCATCGATACCTTTGAGGGCGGCAGTCAAGGACTCGACGGATGTGTAGTCAACTTGGACAACTTTGGCCGTCGTCTGATCTGCCCCTGGCTTTTTGGAACGGGTGAGAACAGTGACGGCAAAGTTCGCGTCGACAAGGGCTTTGAGGACATGAGGTCCCAGATTGCCAGTTGCCTGATGCCCAAACTGGTCAGCTCATTTTTCCGTTTTCCTGTGGCATTCTTCGACATTACATACACCGGCAAGAGCGACTGATTTGATCGCAGACATGGCGGAGAAAAAAAATGATAATGTGGATAATCCGGAGAGAGACTTGTTATTATACCGACATGTATGTTCCGCTCGTTTGATCGATCAGTCAAGGTAAGGAAAGGAGAGGAGCCCGACCCCATGGGGGGGTTGGAAGAGCATTTATACTCTCTCGTCCGATAGCAGTGGCTATTGTAATTCCAACCATGATCGATTCCCATGCCGAGCCAAGACCATCACGCTATTTATTGTTATTGGTTTCCCATCAATTGCGCCATGTGGAAACATTGAGGATCCCGCATGTCTGGCAGCCTGAAACACACCAGAATCTCCGCCGGTGGCCCGGACGAATGATTCCGGGATGCCAACACCTCGTATTAACACGAGTCGCCTGCCTACTACATAGTACCCAAAATGAGCATTTGTGCAGCATTGTGCACTGTGCATAGAATGCCAAGAAGTGCTTGCTTGTGTATGTACGACGCCGTTCACACGGACGAAAAAAAGGCGATGCAATAGCTCCCTCCCTCCACTGTCCGCGGACGCTATGTAGTGG